AAGCCCTGCTCGCGCCGTCCCAACTTGCTAATGATGGCGTCCAGACACTGACGGCAAGCACCCGCAGCTTCAGCGTGGAGTGCAGACAGGACACTATGCCCTCTCGTCGACATGCAGACAGGGCACCATGCCTTCTCATCGACATGCAGACAGGACACCATCCCCTCTCGTCGACATGCAGACGGGGCACCATGCCCTCTCATCGACACGCAGACAGGACACCACGCCCTCTCGTCGACATGCAGACAGGGCACCATGCTCTCGCATCGACATGCAGACAGGACACCATGCCCTCTCGTCGACATGCAGACAGGGCACCATGCCTTCCCGTCGACATGCAGACAGCTGCAGACAGGACACCATGCCTTCTCGTCGACATGCAGAGAGGACGCCATACCCTCTCGTCGACATGCAGACAGGGCACCATGCCCTCTCATCGACATGCAGACAGGGCACCATGGTTTCTCGTCGACATCCAGACAAAACAGCATGCCCTCTCGTCGACATGCAGACGGGATACCATGCCCCCTCGTCGACATGCAGACGTCCCGAATCCCAAAACGAATTCGGAATTTCCCAACGCCGTCGGCTTGCCAGCCCGTCTCTGCCAGCTGCCTACGGAGCCGCTGTGTCCGCCCCTACGAGCATGAGCAGTCAGCGGTGCCGAGTGAAGGGGCGGCGAACCCCGTCTCCGGAAATGCACGTTCTGTCTGATGACCGCCGGTGACCGCCGACTGATGAGTCCTCGAGTGGCGCCTGTCACCCGCCGCCATGGACGGCGCACCTTGGGCTTATGACGGCCGGCTGCGAGTCGCGAAGAACGTCGTGCGAACTTGGAGCCTTAGTTTCAATCACTATTAGCACAATACAAATGACGTCCCCAAGGCATGGGCGGGGACGACGTCACGAGCCGCTGTATTGTGTGCCGCTCACATGTCAGCGGCAAACGAAATGCCGCACGCGTTTTGCGTGATGCCGTTGTTGTTGGACCGTATGGCTGTAATTGGCTATCGGTCCGCATAACCCGACGACGGCGCTGAGCCTGGCGCCTTATGCCCGACTAAGCGGCTTCCCGTCTTATGCCTGACTAAGCGGCCTCCCATCTTATGCCTGACTAAGCAGCCTCCCGTCCAGGCTACTAAGCGGTCTCCCGTCCAGGCTGCTTGTTTTGACATGCATGCGTAAAAACTGCATTGCTGTCTCTTTTCTCTGTGTATATAAAAAAGGAACGTTACGCACGTTGTCGCCCTTTGACTGATATACAAACAATGCAGGCTGCAACTGAGGTGTCAGGACTAAAAGCCCAACATTCAATGCCAGCCAAACTGACACATGTGCGCGGCGACGCTCCTTGGCGCCGTCACCCGGCGGCAGGTAACAGGCCGCACGTGCGCCGCCCCTGCCGCTCAGCCGCCGGCGCGCCGTCTCTGGACGCTGCCGCCGGGCTGGCGGCGGCCGCAGCGTCGCCGAGGCAGAACCCGGCCCGGCGCCGCCGCCGCGACGTCGCTGGTCGTGACCGACCAGCCGGGGCCCCGACTGGCCTCGGCCGGCGGCGCTGCTCAAGTGGGCGAGCCCGTCAGCGACAGCTGCCCTGTTGACACGCGCAGCCGGCCCGGGGCGGCGCCCACCGGCGCTGAGAGCACCTCCGAGGACGGCGCAAGACAGGACGCGCCTCGAGCGCCGCTCGGCACCCTCTCAGCCGGCCGGCTGCAGACGGGGAAACTGCGTTGGAAGATGCGGTCCGGAGGAGGATCCGCCTTGACGCCCCCCAGCGCCCTCGGAGAACATGCGTTTGAGATAGATCTGGCGCGCGATGTGATTTCTTTTTACAACCCCACCGCGGACACAGAAGTGCCACACTTGTTGGCTGAGGCACACGCATGTATGGATTTTGGCCAACGTTTTTCATTTTTCAGGACGGTTCAGCACCGGGTGAAATACGGGAAAGCAACAGACTTTTTGTCTTGAAAGGGCACGGGCTTGCGAAAACAAAAAATATTTTCGAGCTGTGCATGAAGGAAGTTACTGCACGCGTTCAACACTTATCCTCTTCGTTTTTTGTTGTCATATCTCTCTTTGAGCTGTAATGATTCCGTAGTTCGATCTCAACCCTCGCCCTGATAGTGGGCGAGGGTTGAACACCTAAGTTTTCAAGAGCCTATGGGGCATCTATCGCGCGTTTTGACACAAAAAACGTGGTCATAGTTTTTTTCTGGTTTCGGAGCACCGGCTTTTTTTAGAACACTCCACAGCGATCTACGGCCGGCGCGGGCGGCGGGCGGGAAACGATACCACCGAACGCACCTGGTGGGCTGTCATCATTACATTAATGGAGGCATGTATCACAAAGGCATGCTTTGGAACACTTTAAGATACACGCCACTGCGCCCAGAACTGAACAAGAAACACATCTATGCCGCGTGTTTTTGTCGCCACAAGGCAAACTTTTGTAGGTATGCTGTTTAAAGAGCTGAAAAGCGAACCGGTCCATTAGTCTTTCTGCTGAGATCTATCTTGATTAGTTTGGGAATGCCAGGAGACGCGTCAACCCCCCTCCCCCACCGGTTCGCACCATGCAAAACGGTAGATCAGGACGAGGGCCGAGACGACCGTAATGGAGGTCACGTACTACCCACTGGCTCCTTCATGGTGACAGGGCATCAGTACATACCGCTTTGGTCGATGCCAAAACACAACAATAATAACCTTGCCGGTGCCCGCGATCTGTTTGTGTCGAGAATACTTTGCTGCAATGTCATTTTCTGCTTACTGTAGGGCAGTTAGAAGACCTTTTGTGGATCCAATAATCCCTCTACACACAACCCACAACGACCCACTTCAATCACCATTGATGATTAAGGTGGACCAACGGTCTGTTAAGCACCACTGCTCAGGTACACAGCTAGTTCACAATGCAGCCCACTGCGCTGGAAAGCCGTATGGGAGATGCAAGCTTTACTCACATCCGATGCCGGATTGCAGCCACATAACATATCCTGAATCTACATGAAAATGAAGCTGAGTTTCGGCAGAACGATGTTGGAAAGCCAGTTTTGGGAGAAAGAATGCAAAAAGGCTGTCTAATTTTTTTGAAAGATGCTATTCAGCCCTCTTATCTCATTGAGTATTCTGAAACTAAGTTAATCAAATGCAGCTATAATACAACAATCAACCGTTTCATGAAAGTTGCTCAGATTTCTTCAAATTCAGAAATGTGTCATTTTGCCCTTTCTTGGACTGTCCTTGGGACGGCGATGGGGACAGGGCCCGCTGGGATCTGCCCTAGAAATGCGGTACACACATGCCCAGATTCCTACCCCGGCTGCCTGCTACTGGGTCGTTTGTTTTTCTGCTTCAATTCGCCCGCAAGCCTTTAGTTTTAATTTGGGCGAAGAGGGACCGTTCTCACGCAATGTTGTTTATTGTAATAGCACACCATACACTCATTCACCTCGTTGAAGCAAAACATCGCGCACTGACTGCAACCGAAAGGATGAGCATTTCACTAAACATCGTCATAGTCATCGCCTGATGCCGCGACTCTACGGAGTACGTATTAACACGAGTCGGCGCGCACAATCCTGTTAAAACTGCAGACATTAATGGAAAATATTTCCCAGCTGCTTTCCCAACGGCAAGGATCAATAATTCACCTGCATAATCGCGGTCATGGCTTTGCCCTTGAGGCCAGTAGACTGGGCGCCAATTCCGCTGGGATATGATATTGAACAGGCATACTTGCAACAATTGATTTGCGTAGCTTGAGCTCAAACACAGAGGAACCTCGAAACGCACGAGAATTCGTCAATTGCAGCCCGCTGTCCCAGAAATGCGCCCCAATGCAAATACAAGAGCTTGCCGGAAGCTTTAAAGGGAATGTGCCACATTTGAAGACTTTGGAGCAGGCATCGGATATAGCATGAGCTCACTTAAAGCCAATGATACCTTTTGAAGTGGAAAACACTGCTCTAGACAACACAATTTCTTTATTTAATACATCCGCTCTTCAGTATGTCATTGTTCGATTGCATCATCGCACATCGCACAACAATGAGAGCCAATCAATGGCAGCTGATCTCGCTAGGATACCAATAGTGCTGCAGAGATGACACAAACGACATATCGTCTGACACTGCCCGACGGCCAGCGTTCTGCGCGCGCCTCGCAAGCGGTACCGCGGTGGGAGATCCTGCGGCCAGCGCGACTGTCGGGAGCTCGCCACACGCCTGGTGAGGCCCCCCGCCGAGACCAGCTCACGCCCGACCTGGAGGAGCCGCGGAGCCCGCCGCGCCGCAGCTGGTATCAACACCGCCGCCACCTCCCGTTCGATCCGTGTATTAGGCGACAGCACGGCCCGCCCGGCCATGACCCGGACCCGGAGTCGGGCCCTGCTGACTGGCGGCCGAGTACGGATAACATACAGCCCCCGTCAGCACGCCGCACGACCAGCCACACACAGGCCTGGTCAACCAAAACACCTGTGCGGCGTCGAGCAACAGTCTGCGTTAACACCACACACGGACCTGGTCAACCAAAACACCTGTGCGGCGCCGCACAACAGTCTGCGTAAACACCCCGCAACGAACCAGCAACAGTGGGCTGTTATTCTACACTACATGTACATTTCATAAGCATTCACAAAAATCCCTCTGCCACAACCCTAGCGCAGTAAGCTGAAATGGCATGCCAGGAATCACATATTAACGATTAACAACCCTTCAAGCCCACAACTTCCAAAACAATCTCACAGTCCAGCCACATTGTGCGAGTCCCACATTGTCGCAAGTATCGAACGTTCAAATATACCATTTCCAGTACATATTCAAAGGACCTGATTGTGTGGCATAACACTGGAGCATTATACATACAAGAGCCGGATGCCTCCGGTCTTGTTCAGCGCGAGCGCGACCACACGCCTGGGGTCCTCGTCCTCGGACCACACACCTGGGGTCCTCGTCCTCGGACCACACGCCTGAGGTCCTCGGACACGCGCAGGTGGCTCACAGGGTCTTTTCCTCGCCGCGCACCAGTCTGGAGCGGAACTTCCAGACGTCCGCGAACTGAAACAGAGCGCCCGGTCGATTGACCTCCGAGTGTTTCGGCGTTTCGACCGCCGGGGTCACGACGCGCCCACAAACAGACCACTCAGCCCCGCAGCGGCCTGCGGCCGGTGCCACGCGCCTACAAGGCAGAACTGGGGTCTGGGGTCAGCAGAACTCTACACACGACATACATTGGTAGGTAGACCGAGTCTCCGGAGGGCACATAGTTTGGTCAAGCTGAATTGTCTCCGCACGACACCAAATGCGATCACGCAGGGTTCTCCGCACGATACCGAGTGCGATCGCACAGGGTTCTCCGCATGACACCGAGCGCGATCACACAGAGTTGTCCGCACGACAGCGAGTGCAATCACACAGAGTTGTCCGCACGACACCGAGTGCGATCACACAAAGTTGTCCGTACGACACCGAGTGCGATCACAAAAAGTTGTCCGCACGACAGCGAGTGCGATCACACAGAGTTTTTTGCACGACACTGAGTGCGACCACACAGAGTTCTCTGCACGACACCGAGCGCGGCTACACATAACTCTGTGTACGGCGAGACTAGCTAGACCATGCCGATCTCTCTAGACACCGCAAAGGTTATACCGAGAGCTGCGAGACCTGATGTCGCCGATATCGTATCTGAAGCCATGCTCCCACCGTGATCTCCCAGACACGGCCCCTCGTGTGCTCAGTCCCACTCTCATCGTGGTGTTTCTGGGATTGCGGGCAGCAGAGGAAAGGAACATTTTACCGTGATGATGACGTTCATTGGCACTGTAAAGCTCCCCGGCTGCCTGGGCCATTTTCCGCACGCGTCACATGTTGCTTACTGACTTACTGGTGCCACTGAAGCGAGTGCGCTGCGTGGCTATCAGCGGTAAGTCAAGGCGTGATCAGATCGAGCCGATCGACCTCTGATGACCCGCCTTCAGGCAGGGTGATTGTTAGCGTGCCTCTGCCGGCGCCTGCCACCAACAGCAGCTCCTGCTGCGCTGCTAGCTCAAAAAGGCCGATACTGAATATGGGACAAATGCATTGAAGGGTCGGTATTACTGTTTTCCCTGGATTCGCGTGACGAGGACGACCAGTGACGTCCTATCCATGGTGGCTGGCTTTAGGCGCGCTCAAGTCACTCTCTGCGTCCAGCTCCTTTTTGCTATTCTGCTAGCTCGCACTACTTGGCTAAGCAGTAAACGTTACTGGTAAGAGCTCGCACTGCATCGTATGGAGGCGGTAGCGTGGCCTTATCAGCAGTCTGATCAGCCCACGTATTCCCGGCAAACCGAGTAGGCCGGTACTAGCGCGCTCTGCTGCAGGACGGCGGCGTTCCACACGCTCAGCTGAGCGAGGCGAGGGCCTGCGGGGGGACGTGTTCCAAATGCGTCACGCAGAGCTGCACCAGCCAGCAAATACTGCGGACAGCGGCGCGTTATGACGCCAAACGCAGCCAGAGCACTCCAGAC